CGTAGAACGTCTATCAGAAGGTGATCCTGCCCAATCAACATCTGAGTATCCAACGATCTGCTCATGGCCTCGATCCTCAAACAATAAGCCTTTGCCTGGAGCTGATTTTATATACCGAAGAATGCGGACAACTGCATCCCAATGACTATCACAGGGAGAATCCATAAACTGACTCACAACACTCACAGGAAAGGAAATGTCAGGTCTAGTCACTGTGAGGTAATTTAATTTACCAACCAACCGCTATATCTTGCAGGATCACTAAGAGGCTCCCCCTGTCCTGGCAGAAGTTTAGAATTTGGTCCATCGGAGTGTCAACAGGTCTACAACCTGTCATTCCTGTCTCCTCAAGAATATCTAAGGCATACTTCCGTTGTGAGATCACAATATCTGAGCTAGACTGAGCGACCTCAATACCCAGAAAATACTTTAATCTGCCCAGATCCTTAGTCTGAAAGTGCTGAAAGAGATGTTGCTTCAACTTACTAATACCATCCTGATCATTGCCGGTAATAACAATATCGTCAACATAAACGACCTGATAAATACAGAGATTTGAAGCAGAATGTCGATAAAATACATAGTGATCAGCTTCACTACGAGTCATGCCAAACTCCTAGAGAAAAGAGATTTGTTACCAGAAATATGATCAGATGTACCTGAATCAATGACCCAAGACTCAGAAGGTGAAGATTGGGAGACACAATTCATGCTACTATTTGTTGGAACAACGGAGGCTAATCCTGAAGATGCCTGTTTACGTGCTTTGTACTGAAGGAACTCAATATAATCCGGTAAAGAAACCATCTGGATTGGATTTAATGCATTCGATCCAACGAATTGTGAGTCTAAGAATGACATTATAATGTTCACGCCGGAAAAGGTCAGAAAATTGTTTGGAAATCACTGTTCGACTGTTACAGTTCACCGGAAACACTGTAGTTCGCCGGAAAATAAAAAAGTCGTCGGAATCTGATGTAAACTTGATGGGTAGGCTCGGAAAAGCAAGACGATTATACTGTTCAAAAGAAACTTTCTCCAAAATCTGGCCGGAAATACTGTAGCTCGCCGGAAAATTCCAAAGTTGTCGGAATTTGTCAGGGATAGTACTGGTCGACTCGGAATTGAGGTGCGAGTGACCTTTCCTGAAGGAAGTTCGTCGGAAAATGGCTGGAAGGTGTCTCACGCGCCCGGCGCGTGCACAGATCTCGCCGGAAATTTTTTTCTCTGTCCGGCGCGTGAGGGCGCGTGGCAGTGATTTTTCAGGCGGGTTTTGCTGGGATTTGGTCGCGGGGCTACGGAGGACCTTGTGGCGGTGTTGGTTTGTTCACGACACTAATAAATAATGACTTTGATGTAAACAGTCACTTAGGTCACCGGAAAATTGCACGGTGACGACTGATTTCTTCCCGGATGTCGTTAGAATGACGCACAACGATAATTATCTCACCAATGCTCTGATACCATGTGAGAATGCACGGGAAAAAATATTATTGATTAATTGACAATGCTACAATGAGCCATATATATGGGATTAGGGTTATTTAGGGTTATTTACTACTATACATGTCCTACTCCTAATACATATGGGATTAGGGTTATTTACTACTATTTATACAATGAAACTAACAACTTCCACAAGAATCATTGAT